AAAAAGAATAAAGTCAATACATTTTTTACAAGGTTTAGCAACATCAAAGGCCCAATTACAATGGCCTATTACTTCAAAAATAAATCACAACACTTGTGCTAAACAAAAGACTGCACCACATGAAATATATATGTATTGGAAGAGGAAAAAATAACACACATGAGTATAAATTTTTCTACAGTTTGAGTCCCGACGATCGTGTCTAGCTTATTGTGGGTTTCACATCGCATTCGGATCCTGCCTAAAAGGTTAATTATAACCAACTAAAGGAAACTGAAAAAACAGATCACACATTAGTTAACTGATAAAACAGAAATGTACTAGGGATTCCTTATACAGTTATACCTCACTTATATGTTACTATATTTGGTAGTTCAACCGTATTACTTAACTAACATAAGCTCAGATGAATTCAGCTTTGAGTGTCTCACTCTTGCTATCATAAGATTCATAACATCGAAGCATTCAAAACACTTACCAAGCAACTAGCAATTAAAAATTGAGTTCATAAAACATATAAGGATTCAGAAAGTCCTTGGACCGTAGTCAATATACTCGATCAATCTTGCAATCCTACAAGGATTGTACACAGAAGAAAATCTATGAAGTTCTGTCACCTGAAAACAGCCGAGCATATCGCACACAAATTTAACACGGGACGACAAAATGTAGAAAATAATGTACTTCTAACGAAAAAAGAATGTATGATGAAACAGAATATGAAGTCTTGATTTCCCTTTGAACAAAGTCTTAGGATCATATGAAATAGGAAACTAAAAACGAAACAGAATAGAAAATACTAAAAAATTAGAAAAAAAAAAAAAAAAGAGGGAAAAGGTGGAATTTGCCCCCGGACCACTTAGAATATTGCGTTGGACGTAATGGGTTCAATCAGAATTGCCGTTCCATTTCTGTAAACATATTATAATAATGACTCGAGCCCGAACACAAAAGTTACGCCCATTTTGATTTCTTCTAACGAACACCCCTCAAACAACGACAGCCAAAAACTCGTCTTCTACATGTTCCACATCATAATTTCAAGAAAATAATATTTTCTTTTTATCTGTCTTTAAGTATTTATTTCTGTGAAGTGGATCGAAAGTTACACAATGAACTCTTTCTCTGATGTTAATCAGTATCTCTCCAGATATCAAACGTATTCTCACGAGCTACGTTCCTCCAAATTTCATTTCCATCGACTTATGCTTACCCTCAGTTGTTACCGATACAGAAAACAGACCCAGTCAATTATTACGCCAAGAGAATTTGAGCATCATGAAAAGAAACTAGATTAAGAATAAATGAAGAATTTTATATTACACCAGGAGCTTTTACCTCTAACGATAGATTACATTCTGTAATGAATAATAAAACAAAGTGGGCTAAAGAGTAAAGATTGTTCGTTTGTTCAAAAGCACTAATCTCCAGTGTCAAAACACCTTGAGTCAAAACTCAAAAGGGTAACTTATTTTCATCCTTCAAAATGACATCTTTGATAAGTTGTTCTGTATCCTCCATTGGGAACAACAGTTGATTAGGTCTAAGACAGTTTCACAACACCTTCATAAATCTCGTGACACTTAAAGAATGTCTGAAAACAAATAACGAATTTGCTCCATCAAAAATTTTCCCTAACCATAGTAGATCGAAAAATTTTATCTGTATAAGAACAACTGGAAGCTGTTGTCTTTGTTACCTTTTCTACCTAACACTTAATTTGAGCTTCACCATTGATTTAACCATAATCACCACCGATTTAACCATAATATCCTAGCTTTCAAATTTTTCAGATTATGTAAGTAGAAAGAACATACGCATTTATTAATTCAAAATCAACATTATCAAAAATAAACAGAGAAGGGAGAAAAATGATTGAACAGAATGAACAATTGAAGAATTGAACAAACCGGGGAGATTGGAAAGAAGCGCACGTATGGCCCGACATGGGCCTGGCCTTGGTCCTTCTTGTGTATACATCGCCATTTGTGTTTTTCTCTTTCCTTACTCAAAAACTGTAGAACTAAAAAATAAGATAAACTCAAGCATTTGCACGTCTTATTATATTTTGACAAATTTTTTTTTATAAATATATATATATATATATTTTTTATTAGATATATCATGTTAAAAAATATTATAAGTAAAAATATGACATTTTGATATTATAAATACGGATTTTTTTATAGAGAATGGTGTCGACCCGTTTAACTGTTAGTCTGTCATCTTAATAGAAATCAAATTATGTTAGCGGACGTAACACAGTCTTCATCCCCTCAAAACAAAGTCATAGACTAAATCAATCTCCTAAACTCTAAACGAAATATAAAAATAAATAAGAAAATAAAAAATAGCAAAAAAATAACCGTGTCGCACCGCAACTTAAAAAAAAGCTTGATCGAAATCGAACCTTTTTTTTTCGCAGGAATAACTGAATTTTGCAGTACCAAAATGCACGGTTCGACTCTGTTTATTTATTGTATCTCACTTTTTCTATACATTCTATTCAATTTGATCTGGGTCAGTGCAAAATCGTACCACACCAAACTTGTGAAAAAACTATAACCGTAGCACAACCTAATGTAAGACAAAATTGAATCAAAACTGAACTAATTTTTTTTACAT